AGTTTTATGATGATTTAGCTCTATTTTAAAACTTCCATGAAGGATTCTCATGTGGATTTTAGAAGGAGCAGTGAACTTGAAAGGCACGGTAAAAGTCTCTCCCAAAGTACATTTCTGCTTTGGATATACTGAAAACTTATTAAAACCCCCTCTGCATATTCTTTTACCCATTGGAACACCTGTGCTTCTGGCATATGCATATTTCTGATAAAAAGATAATTGTTCCTATTGATTTTTGTTGTTATTACCAAAGTCTAAGAGATTTAAAGCTGCCTTAATCCTATTTTGTATGTTCCTTATAGGATTCTGTTTCTAAGCATTCATCAGAAACTCTTTCAAGATAGACTTAAATTGTCATCATAAACTTTTGTTTAGCTTGCACAGCTATGACTGGGGATGGAAATGAGGTTGTTTAGAGAAAGAAAAAGAAGGAAACACCTGTAAACTAAGCCTATTTAAATAAGTAGATTATTTAATGTCTTCATGATTTCTTTCTGTTAGTGAGGCAACCCAAAGGTGGGCTTTCTGGAGCCTGTTGCATATATGCATCTGTCTTGTAAATGATTTTTTTCTCTATGCTTTTTAAAGATACTTTCTAAAAGAACCTAAAAGAAATCTGTGACCTAAAGAGTAGATCTCAGTTTGATACCTTAAACACAGGGGGCTTATTCTCACTTGTCAGTGGAGAGCCATTGGCACAATCAGTGGAACACAGGATGTAATTCCTGTAGGATGTGGGTTGCACTAGGGTGGGCTACTTGCCCTTTGTGCTCTATTCACTATGGATTTTTTCTCCCAGATGGATCCCACCCAGACTCTTTGGGGAAGAAATGAGGTCTTCTAGGTCTGCTTTATATTTTCCAATAAGAGGATACAATGACCAATCTCTATAGGCCATTAAACATATTTTCACCTGTTCAGCAGATCCTGTCCATGTGGAATCCCTTTCCAATAGTCTCGCCTGTGGCACTGGGGAACATGGGTCCTACTGTGCTCTGGGATCATTGATAGCATGGCCTGCAAGTCTGACCTTTGTGCTGCTTTTGCAGACAGTAAGTGAAGAAACATGTGCATTATTATGATGCCAATGAAATCCCTATCCTTGCTCCCATGATCAGGTTTTCAAATCACTGTTGTGCTCTGAATGCTTCTTTTGGAATGGCAGGCTGCCTGTTACCCAGGCTTCCACTTTACATTTAACACAGAAAGTAAACCTGACAATTCATGTGCAGTGAAGGGCTCCTAGCAGAGCACCTCTGCTCATTGCACCAAGCAGTGATTTTCCTGTCCATTCTGAAGCTCTAGACTTTGGCTTGGGATGGGTTGCATGGATAGCATGGTCAGGCAGCTGGACATCTGCTTGGCTCCTTGGAAAAATGGGGACTGTGTCTTTATCTCTGCGAGTTACCTAGTCATCTGTGGTACTAGGCTCTGATGCTGGCAGGGAGCCTGGATTGCTCTACTTGCCTAAATCACACTTCTTAGAAGCTTCTATTTCTGCAGCACAAACATTACTATTAGTTCTCAACTGGGTTGTAGCTAAGTGTGTATGTGAATTGCTCCGTAAAGTGCAGTGGTGTCTCTCCAAGGCCCAGGTTTCTTTCTTCAGGCTAACATCAGCTACGGCTATCCCAGGACCATATGCAAATGGGGTTTTTTCCTGTTTTTTCCTAGAAGACAGATTAAGGGCATGTCTCTGGTATTTCCTCAGGCTGTGAGCTAGTGCTTTGACTTCCTGTTTATGTGGTGGTACCACATGTCTCAGGACCGCTGCTTGCTATCTACTGCTATTGCTCAGCTCCCTATTAATTACCATAATATAAGATAGGTATGATGACTCTTTTTTCTTAAAGTGCTTCCAAAAGGAAGGCATGGATGGCATTCCTCATTTCTTCCTATAGCATAGATGGAAGAGCACTCACACAGTTAGAAGATGTGCATTCAGTCTCCTGCACTGGGAGGATTTCAGCCTGCATCCCAGGAGAGGGCACTAGTCCCTGCAGGGATGAGGAAGCATCTCGGACTCCTACTGACAGCCTTGTACTCAGTATAAAGAATGAGGCATTCGATACAGCAGGAACTGAAGCTAATTCTTCTCATCATGAGATGAGACTTACAGCAAGAAGAGTTTGGGGTAGGATTTGAAGATGGAAATCTGATGTCTTGGGGTAGCATTAGTGCTGAGCTATAAACCCGTCACAAATGGATCATCAAGGTAGAAGAAAGGTGACAGACCACTTGTCTAGACATACCTGACTCCCACACTGTCTGCTTGCTTCTGATTTAAAATAACCAAACCAAAAATCCCCAATAAACCTAAACCCCACAAAACCCAACCAACCAGCCCCCCACCTAAAAAAGGAGTAACTCCATCCCACACTACACATCCCCTCCCAATAAAAAGGTGTAATACATCAGCAGAGGATTTCAAGAACCATCATGTTGCTTGACCCAGCCTTGCAACATGATGGCAGAGGATGCCTGCCATTTTTGTCCAAATACAATCAGACAGAAAAATATGTTGGATGTGATTTTTTTGTACATTAGTGAGGTCTCAATCCAGCAAGTAAAAAATCCTACTGTTAGCAGTGCTTTGGGAACTTAAACACAATTATTTCATAAATTTTACTGAATTTGAACTGACTCTATGATTGGTTTTATTCAGGAGCAGATTTTCCCCATGCTAACAGATTTCCTCATGGCCAAAAGCACAGCAGCATTCAGCAGATGTATTTCTTCAATGCTATTGTTCTTTTTATCTGTATTGCTTTTGTGACCTTGAGGTTTCAGGAAGGCAGAGAAGTCTGACCAATAAAGAGCCCAGTGAGGGAGAGGACATAAGGGAGAGGGGATCTGGTTTGGGCTTGTATCCAATTATTACAATACATTTCTAGACTATTTTTTACTGAGGAAGTAAACACTTACTGCTGTGTAAAGGTTAGATATAGACCCACCCATTCCTGAAAGTTATGTACAGCTTGTCCTGAGTGACTTCAATGATGGATCTGTTTTGTGTGTGTATACAATTCTGTGACTAATTACAGTATCATTTTTGTGCCAAAGCTTATTAAAAAATGTCATAGGTTGTTTCAATAAATTCTTGTTTTGTACTGAGCATTTGGATCAATATCAATAGTTTTGAACAAACTGGTAAAGTGTAGATCTATTAGGCCACAGCCCAGGATAGAGTCTGAATCTTAAAGGTCATCATTAACCAATATTCTCCAAAAGAAATTGTCAACTCCAGAACTCTTTCGGTATGCTTTTTTTAAGTGCCTTTTTTTTAGGTATTGGTGAATGTGAATTTTTATGTTACCTGGTTTGTGCCCTAAGTGGTGCAATAGCAAAAGAAAAATCAAGAAAAATCCCCCCTGTAATCCTTGGTAATCTGTAAGGAAAACCATATAAAGTAGCAGAGATGATCTTGTCTCTGAGATGGTCAGATCCAGATTTAGAGGTGCATTACCCACTCTGTGTTTGTATCCCAGCATAATAGAGACAGAGTAGTTCTCCTGATCAAGCTGTGCACAATTCATGGCATTAGCAGTAGGACACTTTATCTGGTTACTGAGCTTGTATTTTAAGGACAATACAAGAATCCTTGAGTGAATTTCCAAAAAACCTGCCAAAACTGTACAAGGATGGGCTTATGATTTTTTACTCAAGAAAAAGATTGAATGGTGATCACTGGACATGTACATATAGGTCTGGCTGCATGATCTTCAGTATTATACATAATAATAAACACTGTATTTGGAAATCAAACTTTCAACATAGTATCTCAGACATTTTGAAGCAAAAAGTAGTTAAAGCATTTCACAAATGCATCTTTAAGAGATTCTTTAATATAGTTTCTGCCTTGTATCTGCAATAGTCTTGCCTGAGGAATTATATTGGTTCCTCCTGGTATTAAAGCTCTGAAAACCCACTATGGCTAGAGCATTTGTTAAGCGGTCTCTACAGACATGTCACTGTGGCAGCTGCAACAAAATCCACTTTGTTTGTCACACAGGCTAAACCAAGATGATAATAGGGATGAAGCCATTTTGTTTAGATCATTCTTCTTATGCTTCCCCCATAACTTTGACTTTATATAGGGTGTTGTATCAGACTATCTTGCCTTTCTGTTGAGAAAGATAAAATGATCTGTTGTGGTCAGTGTTGTGACTGAGTTGCCTAATTATTTTTGTTGTGCTTCCAGAGAGCATTTAAGGTGTCCAGATCCTATGCTTAACTGAATGCAGTTTTCTTTCCCGAGTTTCTTTCTGTAAATCTCATTCAGTGAACCTCCTATTAAAACAGAATTAGCACAGCAGATCAAGTTGTTGAGCACCTTCATCAAGCTGGAAAGTCAAATACAGGCCAATTCTTTCTCTATGCTCTCTGCTTTAAAAAAAACCCAAAATGCTTCCAGCTTGCTACATACACAAAATTTTCAAGAGCTTTCTTTGAGATAGTTCTGCAAAAACTTTGAATTGCGGGAGGAATTTGAATGGGATGTATCAAAAAAGGCATTAAACCTGGGAAAATATAGTGAACAGTATAGCACTGCTGTAGAGGGAAAAATCTGGTTACATCTCCATTGATGTTTGACAACTTCTAAGAGAAAAATCTGAGTGATTATCAGCCATGATCTCTTTGAAACTCTTAATAATAAACAATATATTTAGGAACCTTTTCTAACTAGGTGTTATTCTCATTTTGTGGAAAACTGGAAGTGATTCTGGAAAGCTTACAGTGATTCTGTAAGCTATTCTGAATAATCTTCTCTGTAATTCATCTTTATTTTAAGAGAGAAAAGCAGCTCCTTGGACTGTTTATTAACCCATACGAGTCAAGAAAAATGCTGCTTAATTTCAAAGAAGAGCTTATTATGCTTTACTAATATGAGCTACTTTATACTGTGTACTTGATATAATTATATGTGGAAAAGTAAACTGGATGTTTGATTTAAAAAAATATAATTCAAATTCTATTTCCCTCTTTTTCTTTTCTCTCAGGTGGAAAGACATGACATGAATACCCTGAGTTTACCACTTAACATCCGCCGTGGAGGTTCTGATACCAACCTGAACTTTGATGTACCAGATGGGGTCCTAGAATTTCACAAAGTCAAACTCAATGCAGACAGCTTGAAACAGAAAATCCTCAAGGTTACGGAGCAAATCAAGGTTGAACAAACAGCTCGAGATGGAAACGTGGCTGAATATTTGAAACTGGTCAACAGTGCAGACAAGCAACAGGCTGGGCGCATTAAGCAAGTCTTTGAGAAAAAGAACCAGAAATCTGCTCACTCCATTGCCCAGCTGCAGAAGAAATTGGAACAGTATCACAAAAAGCTCAAGGATATTGAACAAAATGGATCTTCCAAAGCTACCAAGGATACTTCCAAAGATAACTTGAAAGATGCTCAACATGGAAAGTCTCGTAGCACTGGGCACGGAACGGAGAGCAGCAAGTCGGGTGTGCCGGGTGTATCTTTGACACCACCTGTCTTTGTTTTCAGCAAGTCCAGAGAGTTTGCCAACCTGATCCGAAACAAATTTGGTAGTGCGGACAACATTGCTCATCTCAAAAATACTCTGGATGAATTTCGGCCAGAAACGAGTTCTAGAACCTATGGGGGAAGTGCCACCATTGTTGCCAAACCAAAATATGTTAGTGATGATGAATGCTCAAGTGGGACCTCTGGATCAGCAGATAGCAATGGGAATACCTCCTTTAGTCCTGCTGTGGCAAGTACCCTGGACAGCCAAGGAAAGCTTTCCATGATTTTGGAGGAACTAAGGGAAATCAAGGAGACACAGTCCCAATTAGCTGATGATATTGAGAATTTAAAAACCCAATTTAAAAGAGACTATGGATTTATTTCTCAGATGCTACAAGAGGAAAGATATAGGTATTTTTTTTTAACTGTTCTCTTGGAAAGACTTTTGAATGGGTATAGAAACTATTTGGAAAGTGTGTATGTGTGAGAGAGAGAGATTTCAGAAGCAAGAGGAAAAAATAATTCCAATCAATATCTGATACCAACATGAAAATATCTAGTTGCAGCAACTGAAAATACACATAGAATATTTATTATAGAATATTTATATTTCCTATCAAATGGGGTAGTGCCCTTTGCCTTTGTCAAAAGCTGATCAGAAAACCCTCTCCTCTGTCATATTTTTATATGAATTATGTGAGTACTGCATGTAGGTGATGCCAATAGTTTTGTAGCTGGTGGAAGGACTCTCATCTAATGTGATTCAAAAAAGCTGATCAGTCTGTGGCGTAGCAGAACTGACTGGCAGCTGATAAGTATACCCTTGACTCCTGAGTACCTTGTCCAAATACTTCCCACACACATTGCTATGTAGTGGATGCAATGTCACCTTGTACCCTGGTACAACACACACGTGGGAGATGTAGTTTTAAGTGCTGTGGCACAACTTCGTCTTGCATTTGTTACTTGACAATCAATTCCTTTACCATCTTCTGTAAGAAATGGATGATATGTTCTATCCAAGAGGGCTTTCACCTGCTGTACCTATATCACATTTTTCCTATGGCCTGTTAAAGTGACAGTCAATTCTTGAAGTCTTTGCTGTGCCAGTGGGCAAAATCTCGATATGAAGGGCAATATTTCATGTTGCTATTTCCCTTGATTATAGTTCTTGAAATATAATGAAAGGCTTGATATCATGTGATAATATAGGGAGGAAAGAGCAATGAAAGTGGCCTACTGAACTCATTACTTGGTTTCAGGAGAAGGCAGAGTGGCCTTTTCTGACAGCTCTCTGCCAATAAAATCTCAAGCCTCCTGCTACCCATTTCTAGACAATTTTGCCCCCATCATTTTTGTGCTGACTGCAGTGTTTGCCTGTTTGTGTGTTAAATTAAGTGACAAACTCACAAAAAAAAATTCTAGTTTGCTGGTGATTTACTTGAACTGCTTTACCATGTAAAAGCATGCTAGAACAGACTGTACATAAATGGCAGAACCCTGCAGTTGTGTATGAGAGAGAGCATATTTTTCCTGTCATTACTAGTGAGCTATTAACTGGCTCAAACTTACTTATAAAGCCATATCTTCTTGGCTAAATGAAGAGTGAAAGATGTGAGTTGGATATCCTTAGGCACTGTTTATATTTCATATAATTTGCCAATGATGTACAAATATTTGCTTTTTAGCACCTACTGCCAGCAAGAAACACTAAAAAAAGGCTTTCAGATTGCTGAATAAATGTTAGTGGAATGTTTGCAAAGTTTTTACTGGTTTCTATATGTGCCAGTCAGATGAATTCATTGTATGCTGAGAAATTTTTACATTTTACCTTTTAAAATGTGCAACTGTTTTCGTGATTTGGCATTATTTGAATAGAAGGCACTAAATCTAGACCTCTTTTCCTAATAAGATATGAAAGATTGGAAGACCAGTTAAATGACCTCACTGACCTTCATCAAAATGAGACAGCAAACTTGAAACAAGAGCTAGCCAGCATAGAGGAGAAGGTGGCGTATCAGGCCTACGAGCGATCACGAGATGTTCAGGTACTTATTTTCCTTATCATAATTTTCAGATGTGTTATAGAAATCTTGTACCATGAAACATTTGCATTTTTTCTACATATTTTTAAACAAGGATTATGTGAAAATATTTAAGCCCATGTTTTCTCTGCTTTAAGGTGAAAACCCAGCACATTGAATCAGTGACTGTCTCCATTTGGTTCTCTGGATTCAGGATTTTTTCTGCTGGAACTGATGATATGGCTTAGGCAGACTTGGGGTTGAAGAATGGCCTGTTTTAATTTCTTTCACAGAGGAGGAAGGAATTGCATTGCTTCTGACAATGTCCTGACACAAACTTCTTTCTCAGACTTTCTCCAATATGTAGTTTCATCACTGGCGAGTTTTATTATAAATTGAACTTAGGGTGAAAACAGAACTGATTTATAAATCGACTTGTAGATTTGACAATTATAATTAAAGAGTTTTAAGCCATGGTCACAAGAACCTCTATAATCAAAGCTGTGGGGTGTGTTCACCTTAGTGATCAGTTGTAGTCATGTCTGATTTCAGTCATATGCCAGTAATAATGTCTGCAAGTATGTCCTGAATATAGTTACTATATGTACTTGAATATTTATATACATTACAAGCACTTACATAATGCATAACATTTCCACTCAAAGCCTGAGGAAGTGGTGATAAATGGTGAAAACACAGTTATGCCTTACCTATTCATGAACAAGTGAAGAATGCTCAAAGACTGTCTTCGTATTGGCTTAGACAGGCAAAGAACCTAAAACCTGACCTGTATACACTTGTGCTCACATTTCTAAACAGAGAGAGTGCAGGCAGCAGGATGATCACAGTTTCCTAAATGTGAGTCAGGAAGCTCCTAGGAACAGAGCTGGAAAGGGACAGTACTGAATCTAAGCATATCATAGGTTTTGTTGTAGGTTTAAACAAGAGGGGTCTATCACAGATTTAAAGAAAAGAGGACTACTTTCTGTGAAGGCATCTTGAGGATGTAAAAACATAATGAAACCTGAGTTGTCCAACAGAAGGACTGTGAAGTATTTCCTAACTCATTAGCAGAATCCTGGAAGGCTGTCAGAGACTTTTAAAAGATTCCTGGAGGGGTGTCAGAGACTCCTAATTGAAGTGTTATGTTGATACAACCTTGCTTCTTTTATCTCTGTACAGTTGGGCCTATTTAAACCTATCTCTTTGGGGCTTTGGAAAATTAGCTAAAATAGAGTAAAAGGATTTAAGCTCTGGATATTTTGAGTAACAGCCTAACTCTGTTGCTAAAGGGTGTGCAGATAGTTTTAAAGACGTGTTTAGCCTCTCAATGCAGAGCTACAGGTATCAGACTTTTGCAGCTGGACTTTCTCTAAAGCAGCACAAGACAATTTGAGGATAACTTACAGTCAGAGTAGAAGAAGGACAAGGGAAGTTCATTAGTGTGTAGTGGAGAACATGTCTGAACCATAACAGACTTTGTGCCACACATTAAGAATTGTCTTCTATATTATTAATTCCTAGAGCAGTGAAAGGAAGCAGTCTTGTGTAAGGCACTGTGCCACACTCTCTGTGGTGACCTTGGTGCCTGGCCAGTCACTTGGTAAGCCAGTTCAACATGCTGAAACAATGAAGAACTGACCCAGCGAGGGAAAGCTGATAGCTCTCTGGGTGTTTATACACAGAGGTTTGGTTTGAAACAACTTACTGTGTGATCAGGTGAGCAATCTTGCTATTGCAAGGAAAATATCTGGAGTTTGAGAGTGGAGAAGAAAGCAGGGATGCTGGAGTGTTGGTTTTCTTTGCCATACAGTGGTAAAAGATTATGTCAAGTTGCTGAATCTCATTAAATGATAGCTTTGCACCATGTTACACAGTGGTGTCCAAATCCCACCTCCAGCAAAAAGCTGGCATTTTGGAAAATAAGTGAAGCAGCTGGAAGTTTTTCTGTGTTTCTGTGCTTTGTGAGGGCTTAAGCATGGTGAAAGTGTCTTTAGGAAGCATTTTATTCAAACTTTTATTCCATTCTCAAATAGAATTCTCAAATATTCTCAAATAGAAAAGAAAGGTCTGATTTCTTTAAAACAAATTGTGAACTGGAATAGATCATGTGAGAGAGAATCCCATAAAAGTATCTCCACAGGTTGTTCCACTGTCTTCACACTGACAGAGGGAGAAGGCCAGATCTCAGAAGGGACTCAAGCCCAACATTGTAGGATGGGGAGCTTTGAGAGCAAAATTAACGTAGGCCACAGAGGCAGTGTAAAGCAAGTGCTACATGTTGCAAAGTAGATTTAATTAGTATCATAACAAGCCCACACTAATGTTTTCTATAGAATATGCAAAGAAACGAATTTTCTTGCTGTTTTGATGCAGTGATAGTTGCTATGGCAACAGCTTCACTAGTACTTTGTATCAACACTATCTATAGGAAACAACTGTCATGAACATTAAAGTTATGATACTTTTTCTCAAGCATGAAAAAAGAACAAACCTACATTTTGGAGAGTGTTGTTAGACTTGATTATGTCTGAGCAAACAGTGACACACTCATGCAGACATACATGTGCATTTATTTTTTTAAAAGTTGGTGGTTCATTGAAATTTTAGCAGTCTATAATAAATTACACTTCTAATATAGCTGATGGATGGCTCAGCAGCTAAAATGTGAAGAAACATTGAATGGAAATATGGCTGCTCTAATTCTTGTTTTCTGTCTACAGGAAGCCTTGGAATCATGCCAGACCCGGGTTTCCAAACTGGAACTCCATCAGCAAGAACAGCAAGCACAGCAGTCTGAAACAGTCAATGCCAAAGTGCTCCTGGGGAAATGCATAAATGTTATCCTGGCCTTCATGACTGTCATCTTAGTGTGCGTTTCTACTATTGCGAAGTTCATTGCTCCTATGATGAAGAGCCGTTTTCATATCATCTGCACTTTTTTTGCAGTGACGCTGCTGGCAATATTTTGTAAAAACTGGGATCATATCATTTGTGCTATAGAAAGAATGATTATACCAAGATGAAGCTGTTGGACTGTCTGCTTTTTTCTTCCCCTCCCTGTTTTTTATGCACTATGTGTATACAAATTCTGGTGAAAATATATAAAAGTATACTTGTTGGCAGTCAGTTGCCTGTTCAATCCGATTTTGTCTAACTGGCTGTATCTGTGATGAACTGCTCACTTAAGTCAGTCTTCTGCCTTAATCCAAAAAGTTTTCCACTTTCCAAACCCATACCCACAAAAGATGGTATGATGGTCTGGGAGGGATCCCAGCAACTCCAAGTTGCTGGTCAGGTGTGCTTTTAACTAGGCTGGAGTGCAAAGAGTGTGATCAGGAGGGAGTGCCATAATGTGTATCAGCTAGTTGGACTGATAGTTAATTTTCTCTCTGAATCCAACTAGAGTGATAAGCCAAACTATGCAGTCGTGTGTATCAGTAGCTCTAAATTCTAAATCAATGTGTAACATTACATGAGATTTTGAGTTTTCAAGACTAACAAAACTTGATGCTTCTGCTAGTAATTTTTTGCACAAAATTTATTGTTTGTAAATAAGACCAGTCATGACTATTGACCAGTCAGTTGTTCTGTCCTGGCACTGTTCCTTATCACATTCAGGAAACACATACATGTGGCGTAAGACTTCCAAAGAGGGATTGAATCGAATTATAAGATCCCCAGGCAACTTTGCAAAGGACTTAAGAAGCAAGTAACTGGTAAGAAAGTTGTCATCCACACCAAAGCACTCACTTGTTCAAGCCCTGCAACCTGCAAGGGGAAAGAAGTACACAGAAAGGCAACATGAAGGTTAGCCTTTTTTAGCACTGAATTGTTGGGGTGTTCTAACTGAATGCAAAGCATACAGGTGGTGGGACCCTGGGTACAGTGGATTTCTTTCTTCTTTCAGATTAAAGAATGTGGCAGAAACATGAGGGAACAGCTTCTTAGGGGGAGCAGGGAGTTCAACTTCTGTATATATAGGAACTGTAGACACTCTCAACAAACATTCCTGAAAATAATGGATTAACATGCAGTACCACTACTAGGAGACAGGGTTGGGTTTGTTTTCCCACTGGAATTTATTTTGTGTGATTTAAGGACTGCAAATAACTTCCCTGAAATCAGCTTGGCTTTCAGCCATGATGTAAAACAAGATCTTTATTAAAAATAAACAAACAAAAAACCACCACAAAACAAACCACCATGAACAGAATTCTTCTCCACTCTCCATTAAGTGAAAAAAGTGTCTCCAATTATTTGATGTTCAGTGTTAGTAACTGTGAAAATAATTGTCATGACATATTTTCTTTTCAGTTGCAGTATTTTTTATGCTGGTATTATGGGAGGGTGGGAGGGAGGGCATAGTTTGGTGTGTATATTTCTTTTTAATCAAGTGCAATAGTTGGTATAGAAGTTGTGAAGACCTTAATCTGAGGAAAGGGAGTGGGTGAGGGGAAGGCAGAGAACTTTGACATTCTACCACAGTCAGATAAACAGTTACTATTTGTAACTTCAGGAAGTGAAGAAAGGACATAATTCACTTAATAAATAATGACATAACTCAGCATTTAGAAAATTCAATTAAAATGCTTACAAATATTTAAAGAATTATTTATATGTGCTAAGTCTTTGAACAGAGAATCAGGAAGGACTGTGCTGGTTTGCAGTCACTGTAAATGGCTCAGATCAGGCACACCCATGTTATCCTAGCCCAGCCCTACCTCATCTCAAGAGGGAAGTGGAATCCAAAAGCAAACAAACAAGAACCCAAACAAGACCAACAACTGGTTCTGATCCTAAGAATGTTGTGACTCTTCATGGTGTTTTCTTGCCATCTCTCTTATAATCTCCTTCTCTTCAGCTGGCACAGCCAACTTCTGCATTGGCCTCTTGAGAAAACAGTTTAGCATTTTGTTAAATGGGTTCAGAAGGGTAGACATGCAAGAGAGGAATAATGTGTTAATAATGTTTACCTGAGAAAAACTCCTTTGCCTATTGCATGATTTTACATTTATATAATCGTCCCAGTGCTATTTTATGTAGTTGAAATGTTACATCAGGTAGCCTCAAGGACAGGCAGGAAAAAGGTTAGTGTTTTTCTTACAGCAAAGGATGTTGGTGTGGTACAACCTGGGAATGTGAAGTCTTCTGTTCCAAGGGCATCCTATTACAATTCTGGAAGATGACCTCAGTGCAAAATGAGGGTAAGATTTAAAATCGATGGCTCTACAAAAGATTGCTCACTGTCTTGATAGAATCTGACTGGGCCTAAATTATAAATTGGAAACAGGAAGGTCTTGCATTTCCATATTTGCTTTACCTCTGGCAGAGGACACAGAAAAGCTATAAAGGATGCATAATGTTAGTTATGTAAATTAAAACAACCTAATTGGTTTTTAGGTTATTTTCTCTGCTGGGCTTAAATCACTGGAGGGTGTGACACACGTCAAAAAACTAACAAAAAATGTAAAGTGAAGGGCAAAATTCTGCTTTTGGGTGAAGCAAAATCACTCAGTTTTGAGTGAAACTGTTGTAATTTTGCACAGAGTGAGACTGCAGTGCTAGGAGTTGAGCCGTGTAGAAGGCCAGCCAAGGAGGGAGGTCTTCACCCTCCCATTTCCTACCTTGTGCTAACACTGGTATGTGGTGAAGTCTTCCATGTGCCATGTTCACTTACTAGACTGGAAGAGAAACCTGGTGAAAGAGGTAGATGGTTCTCCACATCTAGACTTAAAGGGCTGGTAAAAAGGTCTCATGAGTATGAAACTGGGATTTTAAGGGAGATGAGCTTTTTTCTTCTTGTTGCATTGAATCATTAGCTATCCCTAAAACTGGGCTCCAGGCAGACTCTCTGCAGATTACTGGGGCAGCTTCAGTGTAGAAAAGTTCTTTCTATCTTTTTCCTACAGGAACATATACTAGCAGCCCCAGCATGTGGTGGGACAGGCTAGCCAGTTGTGTCTATACTCGGGATCAAGAGAAGGCTGGTGCCTGAGCTAGGCAGGGCTGATGCTTCTGCCATTAGCTTCAGTATGGGCATCACTTCTCCTCTTTAGGCTGTGATTATGTATTTTACATATTAGTGTGTGTATCTGGCCTGCAGTCTGAGCTCTGCTTCCTGTGAAAGTATGCCTAGGCCAACCCAAAGAATTGCAGTTCTCCTAATAAGAACTGTTCAGCTTCTCAGTCAATTAACCGTCTTCTGTCAGGATAGCATTTGCTTTTATATTCTCATACAGCACACCACACAATCTTAGGATACTCCTTACACCTACTCATCATGAGCCTGTAAAACACTCCCACTTAACAAAAAGTTGCCAGACAGTGTCTTTTCTGCTTGGTGCTGCCTGGTAGGCAAGTATTTCACTTCACTTTGGTAGTAATTCTCTGATGGAAAAGCCCTTCAGTTGTTAAAACCTGTTCTATAGGCTTTTGGCACCTTTTTGTTCCAAGGTTTCTGGAGATTTAGTTTCTTATGAAAGTTAGCACAGTTTTCCTGATTTCTCCTATTTCAGCATTCAAGACTAAATGAGGTTTCCTCTAAAAATTGTTTAATGGATCCCTTTGCTAGCTTCAGCTATAACTCTGTTATTGTTGGAAGTCCAATTAGTGATCGGCAGGACTGATCGAGACCCAGTTTAAATTCCTTCTTTCTGGTTTACGTTATATTCATTCATGCAACTTCTCACTTTATTGCACTCCTGTGATGTCTATTTTCTCTGAATTCTTAGAGAGGAACTAAAAAATTTCACTGCATTTTAGTTTAGTATCAAAACGTTTGTATTGTGCAGTACCTCTGCTGCAGGACACCATTAATATAGATCTGATGTCTGCACTCCGGGAAGAATATTTAAAAGCCAATGGCTTTTTCTTTAAACAAATCATGACTGCTTATCTGGGGAATAGCAATGTGAAAGGTGAAGACAATTTGCTGTAGGAAAGATACATGATCCACTCACCAGAAGCTGAAGCTAGACAAATCCAGTGTAAGCATAAGGTTCAGTTTTGCAATTATAAGGGCTGCCAGCTAATTAATAGCTACTGAGTGACATAATAAACAAGGACTCCAACATTTGAAGTTGAATTAGTTCAGACTTATGTTTGATACAAAGTTAACTGTATACTAACAACTAGTGCTTTCTGAAATCAAAATCATTGAAGAAATTCAGGAAAGGAACAAGAAAACAAAGAAGCTTGTAGTCAATTTAGAAGGTAAAAGAGCCAATTTTCTTGTTTAGTTGTTTTTGTTTGGGGAACAAAGTCCCTTTCCACTGTGATAGAGACATTTTACTGCTGCATTCAATGATACAATAGAAGATAAACAGAGATTAATGTAATTAAACACTCTAATTTTGATAGCAGAATTTAATCCCTTCTGAAAGTCCATCTAGGACTAGCATTCAGGCAAATTTATTCTCCACTATTTTTAACCAACCAAATATATGTCTGCTTTCTTCATTCACTATCATGCCAGAACACGGCCTTTAAGTACCAGAGATTATAAAGGGCTTGTTTTCAGATAAAGTTGGAATTATCTCTCTGATGCTAATCCTGCACAAAGCATCAGACATTTTTGCATTGCAACAGTGAAAGAGTTTAGAAAATATTTATTTTAGTCAATGAAAGTGCTTGTTCTCCCTGAAAAACTCAATTGAGATGATGATGTATATAAGGACTGCATGAGACCAAGTCAACTTGTCTTGTACAGTTGA